TCTCTCTCTCTCTTCCTCTCTCCCCCTCTCTCTCTATCACTCTCCCTCTCTCTCCCTCCCTCCTTTTCCGATAAAAACCAGCCTCATAACTGAGCCTCCATCAAGTTTTCTGAGACAGTGACTCACACAGGGGGAAACTGCTCATCTTTCTCCAACAAAGAAGCTGGTGGATTCGACCCATCAGAGAACTACCAATCTGGGGTTTGCAGCATATGCCTCATAAGAGACTATGCACCAGAGCTCTGTGCTTTTACAGAGTCATGTCAAAACAACATTTAGGAGACATGTTGGAACAAAGTGAAGGGACAATCCCCCAAATAAACCAGAGCCCTACTGCTTAAATAATTTTTGTTTATAAAAGAGGAAAAGATATTATTAAAGCTATAATATGAAGGCATTAATGCAAAAGCATACACTAGATTTCATTTACTATCACAATATTATCTGAATATTAATGATTAATTGGTCTGTAGCAATTACTTAACCTTAGGAAGTTTGCAACAAGGGAGATCTGGTAGTGCAAAGGTTAAACCCTCAGCTGATAACAAAATGGGTGATGGTTTAAGACTAGCAGCCACTCCACAGGAAGGAATAAGATCTGACAGTGTCCTTCAATACAGGTAACTACCAAGAAAACCCTCCATAGTCTGCCTGCAACACTGAGAGTCCGAAACCGAGAGTCAGACACCCATCAGAAATATTGCAACGGAGGCTCAAATACCTAAAATCCAAAGAATTCCAGCAATGTTCCTAGAGCATAGATATTTGTAAGATAATTTTTTTTCATTTAAACCTCTGCAATAATTTCTTTTCATTGAAGAATGTAACGACAAAGAAAAGCAAGCAAAACACCCCAACCCTCAAAGTTTTGATCTGCCACCACAAGTTTGCCTGCATCATTTCTGGGGGAGAAGTTAATGCATTGCTTAGATTCCAAGGATAATGTTAAGAAATTGGAAAATCCATTGTAGCAATGAATGTGTTGTGTTTAGCAATTTGTTACTAGAAGGAATACTTACTTGGCAAAGAAAAAATAGGTAGATAGCTAGCTAGCTAGCTAGGTAGGTAGCTAGATAGATAGATGATAGATAAAGAAGGGACACAAAGTTTTGGTGAAAAAAACATCAGGCAGAAATGTCTTTATGAGGTGCTGCTTTTTAGAAACCAAACAGGAGCCCTTTTCAACTCCTTTTTTATGTATATTTCAACTGCTTCCTACAGAGTCTTTTGCATAAAACATCCTGCTTCTAGGACTTCCCTAACAAATGAGGTCAATATCTAAATAGTGGTAAACATCTTAAAAAAAATTCTTCCAACAATTGAAATGCAAAATGTACCTTAAGTCATAAAACTTTCCAAAACATGACTTTTAAACAAATAGGAGCTATATCATATATATGATTCAGCTGGAAACGGTAAACGTTTTCAGAGGAGTGTTAACTACAAACTCATGCTGCATTTATCGTTAGAGGACTTGTTGGGAAGAGAACAGAAAATAAGGACATTCACAAACATACTTACTCTGGGGATGCTTCTATTTGCCTCACCAGGGCTGTCTCTGCAGCGTTTTCAGGGGACCTCAGCCCTTGCCTGTTGTGCTTATATTTTGTTATTAGATCTATGAGCACAGCCTGGTGTCCAATTTTCTTTACCAATTGCTGAACCATCCGATCATTAAGTCCTAGAAGAGCGGCCCCACTTATTTCTTCCTCTGAGGGATAAAAGGAAGAAAGGGAAAATGTCTACAAGATTGCTTCGTAAAGTACTGTAGAACATATAGGCAAATACACCTTGAACTGGCAAAATCATGCCTGGCATTAAAAGGCTCACCTAACTTGACTACAGTTCAAAGACTATCTGTACTTTAAATAAAAGTGGAACTCATATTGCCTAACTCCAAATCTGCATCTGCTTCTAAGTCCGAAGGACACAGTCACAATAAAAAGTTTGCACTATCACATTAAATACCTTCCCATTCTGATCTTTCCAACAGACATTGCTCTGCAACACACCCCCCCAAGAAAATAAATAAACTCCATAATTTAATTATTCTTACAAGTATTTCCTATCAAGTTCTCAATACTTGCAACGTTGAACAAAAGGCATTCTGCATTGTTTACCCGAGAAACATATATATATATAAATGTCATGTATTTTAAAGAGAGCTTAGGCTTTTTGTCCACCTACCTTCTTGAACTATTAGAGTCTCTGAGGATGTTGGTCAAATATAACTGCTAGAGTCAATGAAAAGAGGGGAGAAGGAAGGGGAAGGGAATTTTTCTACTGCATTAACTCCACATCCACATTCACATGCTCATTAGGCACAGACAGCAATTTTCAATATAATAGTTAGAATGCGCAATTACAATTCTTTTGAAAGGGTAGACAACTCACCTTGAAATCTATGCACTAGCTCTCCTAAATTTTTCTCCACCAACCAACTGCAGACTTGATCAACTGACCAAGATTCCATTGCTGGCTCCTGTAAACTACACCTGTAGAATAAAAAAATTCGAGAGGGATTCTTTAGTTTTTCTATCTGACTGATGCTCTTCTATTTGTATTTTTGTTTGTTTGTTTGTCTGTTTGTCTTAATAATTAGCTTTCTAACTCAGTCCCATCTTTATCAGGCTCCCTTAGAATTTCAATATTTTGCTTCTTCGAAGTTATTAGTCTTTGAAAATCCATTTAAAAGTTGCAAAGAAAATTAATACTTGTAAGACCAATTTAAACCTGTATCCTAGTCTCCCTGCTCAAGTTTCCCTCACCTTCTTCCACTTTTCCCCCACCGGAATCCCCCAGCTTTACTAACAACCAGCCTCAAACATACAATGGTATGGTACCAAATCCTGTACCATTAACACCCAGGTTTCTTCACAAAGAAAAGAAAGGTGTGAAATTCACCACTACCAGGCTCATCAGGAAGTGGTTGACATTTACAAAAGGGTGGGCAGGGGAGGAAGGGAGGAAGGATCAGATAAAAGCCTGACAGAGACTCTTAGTAAACCAAGGCTAGTTAACCCCTTCCTGCTCCCCTGCCAGAAGAAAGCTTGCAACTTCTGGTTGCTGCAGTTTAAACAAGAGGAGGAAATGGAAGCCAGGATTTTGGAGTTTCAGCTCCTGCTGAATTTTCTTTGTAGAGTTACTCAATCAGAATCTATAATATAACCCCCAGACCTACCTATAAGACTCAGAGGAGATGTGTAAAATTCACCTAGGGAACTTCTTAAAAATGTAGATTTTTTTGTAGATTCCTTACATCTAGGGGTAATGCAAATTTTAGAGGAATAGAAACAAACATGATCAAACTTTTTTGGAAGTCTTGTTAAATGACAAATTTCTCTGGAGAAACTCAATTGTTTCTTTCCTTCCTTCCAATATTACTCTTACAGAGTCTATTCACCACTACGTCCTTCTTGAGCAGAATTGCAGTTGGAAAATCAGCTACTAAAAAGTAGACTGTAAATAGAAAACTTCAAGTCTCAGTTGGGGAGTTTCAAAATGGGAAAAAATTATTTAATTTTATTTAATAATAATTAATTTTGCATTATAAAGAATTTAAAACATTATTGGCCAAGTAGAAAATGTGTATGTAGAATTTGCAAAATAAGTTCTTTAGCAATTTATTTTTTGCATTTCAGTATTCTTTCATACTCATTTAGGAAATTCAAAATAATATATCAATTTCAGTAACAGCTTTTCCATTTCCCTTTAATAGCTCAACTTCTGTGGTTTGTTATTTTTTTAAAAAATAATCTAACTCAAAAGATTTGATGCACTGGATAGAAACTGAGACTTTTAAAACAATTTTAATGTTTTAATATTGCCTTTTAATTCTATCTTGCAGTGTAAAATTATACAGATTATTTGTACAGGAAAATACTGCCCCTTCTATAAAGATGGGGGGAAAAGCTACTTTTAGAGAAATAGAATCATGAGGAAAGAGGAAAATATTTCCTAGATCATATACTTAAATTTTACTGTTGGATGTTTTAAAAAGAAATATTACTATTTTGCATCTATGCTTTGTCTAAGTAAGTTGCAATTTCAATGTCATAGTCAATGAGATAAGGTCAAACATGTTTGCCCTTTCAAACTTAACTGAAAACACAGCAGTCTTCAAAAATTACTTCCTAGAAAACATGTGTACCAAGCAATAAGCCACATTCATAAGTATTCACAAACACCAAGTTGAAAAATTGAAAACAAGGGTTAAATATAGAGCAGAGACATCTTTCTGAATTACAGGGGTGGATTTAATTTGCTCAGATAACAGTAGCCACAGAACTCCTCCCCCAGGCTAAGCAGCACTAGCATGGTGTGAAAAGTCATTATTTGTAAGGCTCTGGTGTAAATTAAAAATCACACCTCTCTGTCACACTTCTGACTTCCTCTAGAAGAGGAAGACTTCAAGAAAAAAAAAATAGAAAACAATTCTCTAAACTCCAAGATTAAAAGGTATGCAAAGCAGGAAAGACCACCTTACAGCCAGTCCTAAATAACAGAAATTTAAAAATAAAGTGAGCACTGTGAATCTTTGCATATTTTTAATTCTCAGAGTTTTACCCTAATTGTATTCTTCAGAAAAATAAACCGTTATGAAATTATAACCTTAATAAACTAAAATAATAATATTAATAATACCAGTTTTGCTCATTAGTTTTCTGAACATTTAATCCATTAACATACTTATTTTAGTTGTCTAGTGCTTCCACAACAGAATGACCATGAGAGGGTGGCTGCAATGAACAGAAATTTATTTTCTCACAGTTTAGGAGATTAGAAATCCAAATTCAGTGTGCTGACTCATGAGATTGCTGCATCTAAGAGAATGCTTCCTCTGTTGGATCTGGATGAAGGTATTTATCTCTTTAATTTCTGCTTTCTGGTTCTTTGGATATCTCCATGTGTCTGGGCATTGGTACTACTGTGGGACTAGGAGATTCTTAGCACAGAGATCCTAGTTCTAAAGGATGTGCTTCACTCCTAGCTCTACTTTCTTGGCAGCACAGAGATCACTATCCTTTCTGCTCTCTTTTCTCTCCCTTTTATCTCTTTTATTAAAATGTATTACATAATGTTGAGTGTTGTACTTAAGGGTATGACTTGAGAAAGGGTTGAAATCAAGATACTGCTACACTAATCCCCTTTCATTATCTTATACAAGTTAGGATTTACAATACACATAATGACACCTCCTGCTCCCAGTATAGGTTTTGCATGTGCACAATTGGGAAAATAGAGCAGGGGAGCACTGCATGGTTTAAAATTAATAAGGGAGTGTGTCAGTGTTGGCTTCTTTCTCCATACTTATTTAATCTGTATGCTGAGCAAATTATTCAAGAGGCTGTACTCTGTGAAGAGGAATATGACATCACGATTGGAGGGAGACTCATCAATAACCTGCTATGCAAATAACACAATCTTGCTTGCTGAAAGTAAGGAGGATTTGAAACACTTGTTGCAGAAGACCAAGGAATGCAGTCTTCTGTATAGATTGCATCTCAATGTCAAGAAAACAAAGATTCTTACCACTGGATTGATAGGCAGTGCCATAATGGAGGGAAAGAAGATTGAAACTGTACACAGCTTCATCTTACTTGGAACCACAATTAACACTCTTAGTATCAGCAGTCAGATAATAAAGTGATGCATTGCACTGAGAAAATCTGTAGTTAGGGACCTCCCCAAATTATGGATGAGCAATGATGTCAGTTTAAGGACTAAGGTGTATCTGATTCAGGCCATAGTCTTTCTGACCACCTGCTATGCATCTGAGAGCTGGACAATGAATAAGGATGACAGAAAAAGAATTGACGTCTTGGAGCTGTGGCACTGGAGAAGAGCACTGAACATCACTTGGATGGCCAAAATAACAAACAAATACAGCTTCAAAAGTGTGCATCCAGAGTGCTCTTTGGAAGCAAGAATGATGAGGCTTCACCTCTCACTTTGGACATATTGCTTGGAGGGACTATTCCCTGGAAAGGGACATTATGCTTGAAAAGGTAAGAGGATAGGCCAAGGAGAGGAAGATTTTCAACCAGGTGGATTGACACAGTGACTGCCTCAATGGACCCTAATGTGTCAAGAAGGCACAGGATAGAACAGGGTTCAGATCTCTTTTTTCATAGGGTCGCTATGAGTTGTACTCCACTTGATGGACCTAACAACAACAACAACAACAACATAATGGCACCAGATCACAAAACACTGGGAATTACAGCTAGAGATATCAACTCATATCTGGGGAGGGACATAATTCTATTAGTAACATTCCATCACTTGTCCTTCAAAATGCATTTCTTTGCCACATGTAAAATACATTCATTCCATCATGTTGTTGTTGTTTGTTGTTATGTGCTGTCGAGTCACCTGCGACTCATAGCAACCCTATGTACAACAGCCCTAAACTCCGCTCTGTCCTGTGCCAATCGCACTGTCTCTGACACTCCCATCCCAATTATCCCAGTCACTGAATCAATCCACCTCATAGAGGGCCTTCCTCTCTTGCGCTGTCCCTCCACCCTCCCAAGCATGATGTCCCTCTCTAAGGACCGGTCTCTCCTCACAACATGTCCAAAGTAAGTTAGACGGAGCCTCAGAATCCTTGCCTCCAAGGAGCCACCAACCCTCTCCAGGACAAATCTATTTGTTTTCCTAGCAGTCCATGGTATTCTCAATACTCTTCTCCAGCACCACAGCTCAAAGGCGTCAATTCTCCTTCTATCCTCCTTGGTCATTCCATCATATGATTCCAAAACTGTTGGATCGGTGTGGTGTCATGGGCTTCTTCTAAATGCATTTCCTAGCCATCAATGTTGACTATAAAGATATAGCTGGGTGAGAGCTTTAAATAGGGGGTACATAAATAATTCATGATGAGGTTGCCCAGTTTTCCTATCCCACCAGGTTTAAAATGAGCCGATTTAGTACCAAAAGGGGAGCTGGGCCTCACCATGAGCAGAGATGAAGAAGTAGAGAATACAGTGAGCATCCTGTAGGGACTAAGATGCCTATGCCTGTCAGACCAGGACCTAGATATGAGCAACACAGCATCAGTAGAGAGTGAGGGACTAATATGAGATAGAGCTGACTTGAAGCTGCTGCCCCCCAGATCCAGAGTCAAGGGCCTATGCTCAAGCTTGCTGGAAAGGTGAGGAGAGACACCATCAGTGACAGGACTAAGAATATTTTTAATACCTATCTAAACCATGAAAGTAAAAGTCAAAGGGTCTGCGAGCACAATCAAGAAGCTATCCTGACTGAGGCACCTCATCCTATTGCCAACCTGAATTACAATCTCTTAACTTCCTAGTAAACTCCTTAAGAGTGAATATGGTGAGATCGGTGTGGTCATTTCAGCTATTGGGATTTCAGCCCAGTAGTCGAGCATTAAGAGCCCTAGGAAGGATGATGGTAGGTGTTAAAATAGGTGGAAATAGGTGCAGAAGCATGGGGGCCATGTCTGACCTCGCAGGA